GCATCTGCTACTTCCCCTAGTTTAGTTTTTAATGGAGTCTCTCTAGAAGTTTAACTCCTACATGCCTAAGCCAGTTCTGAGGTGCACATCTCAGGTTGAGCTCCAATTAGAGAATAACTTGAAGGGAAGAATTAAAGGAATAGAGGTGAATGGAAAACCGGATCACTTGTTAGATACTTCAGTGAATTCTACTCACCTGAAAGTGGATAAATCTCCTTCAAAGGATAAATCACCTGGATAAATAAACCAAAGACACCCCATATCAGAGGAAGCTGGATGTGGGGATTCATCCCAACCACATACACAGACTCTAACACCCAGGGAGAGCCAGTAAGGAGGGAAACAGTCACACCTGAACACTCCCCTACAGGCCTTTAAGCAGCATACAGGTCCTTGACATCAGAGCTGCCTGGCCTGGCCTGTCCCAAGCCTGAGGACTGCAAGAGTCACCAGTGTGTTTGCGTGGCTGGATGTCAAACAGGCTGAAAGAGCCCAGCCCTTCCGGTGACAGCCAGGCAGAGGCAGGGACTCACCTGCTCCCTCAGGGTTCCATCAGTGAAGAAAGGCCTCTGCGGCAGGAACACCACACCGTGGGGGCCGAAGCATGTCAACATGGAGACACTCCCTGAACAAATCCAGGAAACAGAGTCTTGTCAATACCAAGTACAAGCCCAAATCTCCATCCTCTCGCTTCCTCCCCTACCCCATCTTCAGTGCACAGGCCTGAAATAGCAGGACACAGACACCAGGCAGAGACCAGGCTTCTGGGGAGCAGAAGTCTGATCTGCAACACAGTGCACTAAGATGAGAAGGTCAGAGCACAGCACAAGGAGAGAAGACAGAGCAAATACAGCCCTGACCACACACACACTCATGTGCACTGCTTGTCACAGAACTGCATGACTTGAGCTTCACTCCTGACTTACCTGGGACAGCCCCAGCTTGTGTCCAGGGTAATGCTTTGGAGAGTCACAGCCCTTACCCTGAGTGCTTTCCCAAAGGCCACTAAGGACCCTGAGGAGAGACGTCTTCCCTGTGCCAGTGTTCCCCACGATCAGCAGGTTGTTCCCTTGCGAGATCCTTAAGTTGAGGTCTTTGATGAGCAGCCTGCCTGAGGATGGGACTGCAAGCGTAACCCTCTCCAGGAGGAAAGCTGTATCTTCTGGCACCATCTCCTCTTCAGATCTGCTGCTGCCCAGCCACCGAGACCAAGGGAAGAGAGAAGAGTTCAGGGTAAGTGGCAGCTGCCTTCCCCAACACCATAACCGGGAGCCTGGAAATCCTGGTGACTGGTACCTTATGAACACCTCCAAAAAAGACTTGACTTGCAAGGCTAGAGAGAACCAGTTGCAGTGGTATGCTGCCCCAAAGAACAACAGACTAACTTGTGACCAAGGACAGAACCATGGCACTGACCCACAACATGCAGGAGGGGTTCTGGTTCCAAGAGCCACCTAAGCCAGCCCACAAGATCCCTGGGAACCCTGCACTCAGCTGGAAGGGAAATAAAATCCCACTAGAATAAACCCTTTAACACCAGAATGTGATTTCCAGCTTCCTTTTTTGGAAGCTCCTTGCCATAGCAGCTGCTAACTGGAAGGCAACAGTGAGAAGACTGACCTCGTGGGGTATGTCTACACTGGCTCCCTGCTGAGCCTGGTCACACCTGCTCAGCTGGCAACAAAGCCCACATATATGAAACAGTGTAGACCACATAGAGTTGCACTGCTTAGGTCTCCGCTCTTTCAAATACTGGCTTCACCCCCCCATCCACCGTCCAAATGGAAAAAACACATGCAAAAGAATACTGTATAAACAGCTCATATTGGTCAATATATTAAAGAAGCAGTGGGAGCCCTATTGCAAGAGACCTTGAAATACAACAAAAAACAGGGAGCACATTGTGAGGGACAAACCTCGCCAATGGGGACAGGAAGGGATCAGCCTTTACACCAGCGTCCTCAGCTCCCAGTCAGGGTCAGGCACCCACTATGCAGAACACTGCATAAACAGAAGACCTAGTCCAGACCCCAGGGACCTTACAGACTGGTCTCAAACAGAACACAGCAGGAGGAGATCAACAATGGGAGGTGGACAGGAGCAGAGGTGACGACCATAGGAATGTGAGGCACCAGCTGGCCACAGCCTGGTGACTCCATACCATTTAAAAAGGGCTTTATTATTAACCCTTGGAGCTGGCAAGCAGCATCTGGCCCTCCTCTGGCTACATAAGCTACATGAATCTACAGAACCCCAGGGCCCAGAGTAAAACCTACCACCTGAGGGAAGTTTTGGTGACAGTGGTGGTTTAACCTGCACTAATCTCTCCAGCATGCAGGGAGCACAACCCCTTCTTAGAGTAACTAGGGGAATAGCTTGGAGAAGAGATTCCTGGACTGTAGCTCAAGGAGGAAATCCTGCCTCGCCCACCAGGAGGTACAAGATGCCAGAGAACTTGTCAGACTTTCCCCACAGCCTGGGAACACAGCCACACAGTCAGCCAGCTGCCATGCCACAGTCAGTACTGGCCACAGACACTCACCTGTCCAAGCCCCACTTGACCAAGTCCCAGCTGCTTTTGGCTTCCAAACAGTGATCCTTCCATTTCCTAGAGAGATTCAGCAGGGTCTCCTGCAGCTCCCCAATCCTGTAAACCAGTCAGAGCTGAAAAGAACAGACTAATACCAGCTGCCTTTCCCTGGCTCAGCTTCTGCTTCCACTGAGCTCTGATTGTTAGTATGAGTCATGAGCTCAGTGCTGTCTAAGATGCAAAGAATCCTGTCCCACAGAGCTACCAAGGTAAGCAACAGGACATGCTTTGGTGCTGGCTTAGGGAAGGAAGTGGTTAGGGAAGCTGGGGAAGTTTTTAAAAATAATAGTATCCTCCTAAGAAGCAGCTAGCTTTGGAAGCATTCAGGTGGAATGCTGGGGAAAAGGCATGGCTGCTTTAGTGTCTTCTCCTGGCCTGCAGGGCATAGGCACCAGTGGCAGTGGTAGCTCAGTGGCTCCTGTCTGTGACTGGAATCCCCACCTCAGCAACCGCCATCCC